GTAGTTTGAAATAATAGTATTTTTGTATGTTTTGGGTGTGTCTATGTATGTAGTAACATAACAGTTTTCACTGCCTAGGTGTTCATAATAAAAAAGAAAACAAAAAAGTTCTGAGTGTACATAATATTCAGTAATAAACTTCCACTGGGGTCAATTTGGATTGAATATTTGCTGATTATCGGTCCCAACTGGGATTTTGTTTTGTTTTAAAGAGACAGTGGTTGTTTTGGGTTTTTTTCTAAAGCTGTTTTCTTTCTCTCTGTCTTTAAATATCTTAACTCCCCCCTTTTTCTTTTCTTCCTTTTTTTTTTTTTTTTTTTAAATATTGATTCAGGGGTGTTTTTCCACTGTTGTCAAGGGAGGGACACAAGGGGGAATTGACCCCTTGGCCTCCCAAAACTTTTTGTTTTATGTACCTAACTTTAAAATGTGAGTTTGAGTTCTCTTTTGTGGAAACTTAAGATGTGGTGTAAATGATTCTTTCCAAAATTGTCCAGCAGCTTTAATGAGGCAGTGACAATTCCTAAGTAGTTTATTGGGAGTCCTTTTACATTTCTCCTTAGATAACTCTGCAATCTGGGTGGCTATTGTATAGCCTCACTGTCCCAGACGCCTGGTTAGCCATTTCCCCTCGGATAGGAACATGCTACAAGAATCAACCCATAAGTTGGGAGTCTGGGGCCTTGTTATCTGGGCCCCCGGGAGACACATGTTTTCTTGGTTTTGAAAACCCGAAACACAAGCAATTTACATTTGGGGGAATTAGCTGATACCTCCTGAGGCCTGAGGAGGTGGTGGGGAATATGAGCGGTGCTGTCTCTTTAAAAGTGCCCTTTATATGATTCCCCCTCCTGGGGCTGCCTGCAGGGGGCCTGTAGGCTTGGGAGAGGTTGTGTAGGTGACAGTGAATCAGAATGAAAATGGTAGATTTTGTGTAGATGCATTTGTCTGCTGTAATTTTTTATATATATTAAACTTACTGTAACTGTACAGTTCATTTCTGTTGTAAAACATCATTAAACCATTTTCCAAGTGTTTTCACATTGTTTTTCTCTGAAGTTGTTGCGTTGGTTTTCTGGATGCCTCACACATTCCCATACAGACTTCTCAACTAAGCCTTCCAACTTATTTTTTCCAGCAGGTGCTCTCAGGCATCCCAGGATCACTGTAAGCACACTGGTTCCTCCGCCACCCGTACCCTGGCTTCGGCACGCTTCCCCCTGTGCTCCGTGGGGCGCTGAGGCCACCACACTGCTCTCTCCCCAGGCCCCAGTGGCTTCCTGGGCCCCCGAGGTTGGTAGCAGTGGTCTCCTTCAGACCCCGAGGGCTTTGTGTGATCAATTGATTCATCTGTGAGAAAACTCTTCAGAGGTCCCCTCTCACTGTGTATCTGACTGCAGAACTGTCATTGAAATTGACTTTTCCAAATTTATTGTTTAAACCACCGTGCCTCTCTAGCATTTCCTGCCAGGTCCTGAACAGTCATTCTCTGGGGTCCTCTGAAGGAAGCTAATCCTGAACTTGGCCCTCTGGTTCTTCTGTCTGAGGGTACACAACTTAGCTCCCTCTATCTAGCTTCTTGTAGCCAACATTTAGTGTCTTAATGCAATTAGTTGACTGCATAAAAGGGAAAATTTGAATCTTAAAATGAATTTCCCACAGAGAGAAAACTTCAGCTTGTTGAAGAGCTTTGGGAGGCATCCTGTTTAACTAGTGTGTATGAACTGAGTCTGTGCGTCCCCCTTGAATTGGCAGACGGAGAGACTGAAAGAGAAAGCTTGCGCTGTGGTCTCAAGGTATGGCTGCTGTCTTGAAAGGGGCCCAAAATGGGAAGACACATGCTGGGTCCTTTTCTCCTCTGCTCCAACGTCAAAGAATGCCTCGCTCTTTTCCATTCCACCCTGTCTTGTATTTATAACTTGCTTTTCAGTTTGTAAAGTTACTCTTAAAACAATTTCAAGTTTTAACAGGAATTGGCTGTTTGGTAGAGACAGCAGCAGGCTCACAAGCACGAGGACTTCAGAAGGCAAAACCCATTTGTCACGGGCTAAGGCATGAGGATAAAAGGACTGATTCCATTCTGTTACCCTGTAGTCCTTTGTAAAAAGGTTGTTGTTATGTTCTAGCCCACTCCAGTGGTGTCTACCAAGAGGAACTACCCATGAGAGGGTATGAATTCTCCAACTGCAGCTTTTTCACTCTGCGAAGACCAGGGCCATTCTCAGCTTGATCTGGGGCTTCGTTGTGCGAGCACGTCCACTGAGTCCTCTCCCGGCGGCCTTCTCTGTGTAGTTGTCTTGCACGGAGTCCAGTAAGTCCTCTGCCCCACCCACCCTGGGCCAGCTCCCACACCCATAGCTTACAGCCAGCTTTCCTCCTACCTCTTGAGTCAAAATCTTGATAGAATTGGGTCAAACTCTTATCTTCAGGCCAGCCATGTGGGTCACACAGCCCGTGTGAAGCTCAGCTGACCTTCAAACTAGGTATGAGGTTGAGGCTTAACGTTGACTAATAGAGGAAGCCAACTTCATGTTTTATAAGATGCCCAGTGAATAGACGATAAAGCAGCAGCAGCCACAATGAGGCTCTCACTTGTCATTGTGAACTTCAGTCAGTGGAAGGGCAGCTAAAACAACATAGTGTAATTTTCCCATTCCTTTGCCCCATGATCAGGTTACATAATTAGGGCTGATAGTTTTCAGCCCTTCTCTCCCTCCTCAGAGCCCTGTTCCTTCCATGAAACCTTCCACAGCTCCCCCCCCATGCCTTGCTGAGCTCTGTCTGCACCCCTTCGTTGGCAGCTACTCACCCCTCCCTCACTCCGCTTCCACCTGCCTGTCCTGTGTGTGTCACGACAGTGCACTGTGATGCCGAGTTCTTCACACGGTGTGGATGAGATACAATGACAAAATTTTAAGTCCCTAACTGACTCTGATGATACTTCTCTAGCTTCCCTGGTAGCTTTTGCCAAGTGCTGGGCACAGAATAGGAAGGTGCTAGGTCAATACTTGGTGAATGGAATTGAATTCATATGAATGCCTTCTCTCCTGGCAGAGATGCCTTCTCTCCTGGCAGAGATGCACATCACTCCTGTTGGAATCCCAAATGCTCAGGGGCTTTTAATAACCATGGCCTTCGATTTCAAAGTCTTTTCTGATTTCAAAGTCTTTACCCAATATTTATTGGTGGCTTGATGAGTTAGGGCCTTATAAAGAGCCACTGCAGTTAGAGGAAATACTGCTGGGGACAGGGTCACTTTTTGTGGGAGAACCTGACCTAAAAGACCTCTGTTGTCCCCTCTACTTCCCCAAACCCTACGGACTGAGGTTTCTGTTTTTGTTTTCTTGGCCACGTGCGTGTCTTGCAGCTTGCGGGGTCTTACCTCACTGACCAGGGATCGAACCCAGGCCCCCTGCAGGGAAAGCGCAGAGCCCTAACCACTAGACTGCCAGGGAATTCTCCAGACTGAGGTTTTGTGCTGTGGCATCAGCAGCTGTTCATAACCCCCAGACACCCTCTGACAACGATGCTCCCTCTTCCTGATGCCCTAAATGCTCAGCTGGCCTCTCTCCTGCTCTTTCCAGCACGCCACAAGCTAGCTCAGTGCTTTGAGCCCGGCACGCAGGGAGCTCCCCACCACCTACTCCTGGTTCCTGCGTAAGGACTCCTGGCGTATCCGGACACCATGTTGCCCCAAGCACAGCCCGTTTGGGCCACTGTATGCACCCGGCTCTCCTGCATTTTCCAAGGAGCCATCCTGTTCTCTCCCAGCAGCAGGCTGATCACCTGATGGCTAAATGACCATTACAGGCTTGACTGCCAAAATAAAGCTTACGGTAAAGCAGCATTTTCACTGAAGCATTTATTATGCAAAAAAGTAAGGCTCTAGCAAACCAGTATAAATTAAGACTGAGCAGAGCAAAGAGGGTTTTCCATCCACAGCCGCGTGCCCTTTTATCACACAGCCCTGTTCCAGGTAAGTCAGCTGAGGCTTTTCCCACCGTGCCATTGTCCTTTGGGATCTTTCTAGGTCTGAGTGGTGCGGAGTCTTCTTTTGAGGCCTTTCCCAATACGGCTGCGCCTTTTCACTCTGTGAGGTGCCCACGTGCCTGCAAAGAATGTGGTCTCGCTGCCCGCTCACCTTGTTCGTAGTCAGCCATGACACTGCTGTGTTCTTGCACACCGGACTCTTCACAGCTCGCTTCCCTGTGAGAATATGGGCTCCGGGAGGGCAAGGCTGGGCTTCTTCATTTTTTGGTCCCCACAGGCCCTGGCACTCAAGTTCTATCACGGGGAACATATGCTTGATTGCAGTAGGGCCCCTTCCTGCACCCCCAGGCCTCTGGCTCCCCTGCTCCCGCCCCTGATCCACCACTGCTTCCCCTCTTCAGCCACCACCAGCTGCTACCTACCCACCCCCGCTTCCCCTGTGCCTTCACCCTTCACAGGGAGGCACCACAGCCTCCCTGGCCCATCACCAGTTACCGTGGAATGATGGGCTACGCTGACAGCAGAAGCCAAGTTTACAGCAGGAGCGAAGCCACTCAAATACTGACAGAACAATACAGACCATCAGGACACGCGCTAACATCTGTGGTTTCTCTGGCGACTTTACAGAACACAGCCTGAACTCCTCAGCTGTGTTGTTGGAGAAGGAGGGTGCCTGTCTCCCAGGTAAGAGCCCAGAGCCACTGGGAACGGGGCCTGCCCACAGCCTCCAGGAAGAAGAAAACCCCGGAACATGCTGCACTCTCAGCAGGCTCCTCAAGGACAGGGCCTGGGGGACGCACTCCCTCCCGGCGTCCAGGGAAGAAATTCTGTGTGACAGTTTGGGATTGGCTATGACCACATGTTACAACTTGAAGCATCCCGATCATAAAAAAGAATACTTGGGTGGTGGAGAAATACGAGTGAACTGGTTTGTAAATACTTTATCCTGTGTCTTTAACAATCTGGGCATCTGCAGGTCTGGCCTGTGAGTGGTGAAATTCCAGGTGCTGTTAGCGAGGGGACAGGTCCTGCATGCGGAGGGCAGCATAGGTGTCCTTGGTGGCCGTGCTGAGTCCCTGGGGAAAGCAAATCAGAACAGAAGAGGGGGTCAGGAGCTCTGTGTGGGCATGAGCCTGCCTGGAGGCCAACAGGTGTCTCCCGCAGCCTGGCCTGTGATCCCCCGCCCAGCTCAGAGGCCGAGGAACTGTCCCCTCGTGCCACAGGTGGGGCCTTGGCCCATGCAGCTGCAGCAGAGATGGTCCTGTGTCCCACTGGGAATGGCCTTGGTGCAATTCCTTCCCAGCTAAATTCTCACCTTCTCCCGGCTTCCCAAGTACTGTGCCCTACAAAGTTGCCTGTCAGACCACAGAGGAAGGAGAGTCGCCCAGCTGGGACACTGAGCTGGGAATCAGCGGGGAGACCTCAGACCTGCTCCAGACAGCGTACTGTCCCTGATACCCGGGCCTCCAGGGAGCCGGGACTTGTCACGGGGGAGAGAGTGGCTCCTTGGCCCCCGCCCTCCCGAGCCTCCTTCCCAGGCCATGCTACTACAGTCATGTTCTTTGTCAGGGAACAGGCAGGCTGGTCCCAATCTCACTGGAACGTCTCCCTCTCTGGTCCAGGAGACAGATGAACAGCGGTCACATGCAGTAAAATTTGGGGGCCCTTTTGACATCATTCTGAACTCAGGGAAGCCAGGTAGCCTGAAACTTTGGAGTCAGTCAAGCAAGCTGTGAACAGCCCCAGTGAGGCAGAAAGAAGCAAGTAAGAACCCACTGGGGATTATATTTTAGAGAAGTAGGTTGGCTGTGCTTAGTTTGCATAATTATTCACCCTGATTTGCAAAAACTAGGCACCTGACTACATTTTCTTTCTAAAGTTATTTTTCTTAACTTGTCTACTTTCAATCTTCTCATCCATCTTCCCATCCTATTACGTGTGAGGATACGAGGCAGAGCAAGGCTTCTGCAAGGGCCCAGAGCAGCGGCGAAAGAGGCAGGAAGTGGCTTGTGTGGTGTCCTTTGCCTGCATCTGCCCTTTGCTCAAGACCACACAGCCTCTGGGCAGCTGCTGCTTGTCTGCTGTGCCCAGTTCCCTCCCGGGCTCCCACGGCCTCCTGACTAGAACCAAGTCATTTGCTTGAATGGCTGAATTCCAGCCCTGCCCCAGGGGCTGACTAGCAGAAGAGTCACCACAGGCCTGAATGGGTGCCCTGGGCTTGCCCAGCCCAGCTGTTGACAAGAGCTGGCACTGCCAACAAGCAAAACAAGGGAGCGTGACCTTGGCTCTGGTTAGATGGTGCCACCCCGGGAAGAAGGGCCAGCAGTACTCACCTGGTAAAGGCCATCATGTCCCTTGCCTCTTCGCCGCTGGTTCTGTGGGAGCGAGACGAGAAAAGGCTAGAAAGTCAGAGAGTCAGCAGCAGCCTTCGTGCTCAAGAGTCCTCCTCAAAGGACGCCCAGAGAGTCAGAGGTGACTGTCTCCCAGTCAGCACCCCTGCCCCGGGAGAGAAGGGTCCTCAGGTCACTGGTCAGACCTCAGCCTCCGCAGAGTAAGCTGAGGCCTGGCTTTGATGGGGCTCAGGTTTGCTGTGCCTGACTCAGATCCTCAGAGGCATCAGATTCTTGGATCTGGGCCGCACTGGAGCTGGCCACACTGCCACTGCTTGGAATAAACAGGCCTCCCTGCAGCTCTCAAAATTCTTGGCTAACTAGGAAAGACAGTATGGAGGTTCCTCAAAAAACTAAAAACAGGGTTATCATATGATCCTGCAATCCCACTCCTGGGCATATATCTGGAGAAAACTATAATTCAAAAAGATACATGGACCCCGATGTTCACTGCAGCACTGTTTACAATAGCCAAGACATGGAAGCAAGCCAGGCAAAGAAAGATAAATACTATATGATATTACTTATATATGGAATCTAAAAAAATTACACAAATGAACTTATTTACAATGACGTGGAGAACAACAGGCTTGTGGCTGCCAAGGGGGAGGGGGTGGGGGAGGAAAGGACTGGGAGTATGGGATTAGCAGATGTAAACCAGTATGCATAGGATGGGTAAACAACAAGGTCCTACTGTATAGCACAGGGAACTGTATTCAATCTCCTGTAATAAACCATAATGGAAAAGAAGATGAAAAAGTATAGAGATATATGTATAAATGAATCACTTTGCTATAGAGTAAAAAACTAACACATTGTAAATCAACTATACTTCAATAAAGCAAATCTTTAAGAAAATTCTTGGCTAATCATCAATGCTCACTGGGAACGGCAACTAGGTCGTGGGTACAAGCTCGGGCTGTAGAGTCCGTTCAAATTCTGGCTCCCTCATCACCAGCTACATGACCTTGGGTAAGTTATTGGACCTCCTGTGCCTGGTGGGTACACATTTCCCATTGGGTTATTGTGAGAATGAAATGAGACTATCTACCTGGTAAAGCACTGGCCAGGCCAGCTTTGTGGGCATGCCACCTATGCAGTCACACGGAGATCAAACTTAGAAGGGTTCAATGCTCTGCTCTCACTTTTGGAAATTCTTAATCATTTATGAACAAGGGGCCCCACCATCCTAAGTGCTGAACATACACTGGCACACATTACTCACTTGATAATTATTATGAACGTTGACAAGACTTGGCCTGTTTTTGCAAAGCTTAGCCATCTTAGTATTTAACTTGGTTTTTAATCCTAAAAGGGTATCAGCACTTTCTGAGTACCTAATATACTATCAAATGGATGACAGCTGGATTAACCTTTGCCTCTGGCAGCCACCACATGGGCTTTTGCAGGTGATAGGAGGAAGGGACAGGACTCTTTGGAGCAGCCCCCATACCACCCAATCCTTGGGAAAGAAGAAAGAGAACACTCACCTCGCCCTTCATCCCGATCTCACTGTAGGCCTCCGCCATCTTGTCTTTTCGCAGCTCCTGAAGAAGAGGGCGTGAGACACCGGTGTTACCAACTGATGTAGGAAACAGTGGGCTCCACTACAAAAGGAAACCTCTGGATTCCCCAGTTGGTGGGGGGGGGGGCGGGATTCCACATTCAAGGCTCCAGAGGTTCAAACATTTCTGCCAATAACCAGCTCCAAACCCCCCTCCCCCTCAGCCCTCTGGAATCTTCTCTGAGCTGCCAGCCCTTTGCACTGAGCTCAGAAGCTCAGGTGAGGTTCAAAAAGATAAAATGTGGAGTCCTAGCCAAAGGACACGCACGTTGGACAACGCAACGGCTCACCCCAGAGCCCCCAGAAGCATTTATTTGAGCAAGCTGTCTCTTCAAACAGCCAACACCGTGGCTGTGCGTGAGCCAACTGCAGGAGGGAGGGAGAGTAGTTCTCTTTGCAGTAGCTGACCCTCTGCGATGGTCCCCTGTGTGGCAGACCCAGATCAACACCCAGGAAGGTGAAGTTTTCAACAAGAGGCCACACTCAGGACACTCCTCCGGCCCCTAGGAACAGCAGCCCCTCAGAGGGGCTAGCCTAGCTTGTCCTCGCTGTCCCCCCAGGTCCCACCAGGCTGATCCGGGAACTCCCGCAGCAGGCTTAGGGGCCGAAGGAAGGCAGGCAAGCCAAGGGGCCTTCCTACGAGCAGCCACTGCAGGCAGCAAGCAGGTGAGGCACTACTTGGCCAGGGAAGTGAAGGTCAAGTCAGGCAAAGACCACGGAGAAGGGAGCAAAGCCTTCATCCAGAGCCCTCCTCCAGCCCTACCCCTCAACTTTCCAATGCAAACTGTGCCACGTCCTCTACTCACATTGTACACGACTTCCTGGGGCTTCTTCTTCCTCTGCCAGGAGAGACGAGGGAAAGAAGTTAGAGATGGAGAAACAGGGATCCAGGCCAGGAGAGTTTCAGCGCTCTCCCCAGGCCCCTTCCCCACACTCTCTGTGGGCTCTGCCATCCGCCTGTGCCCTCCCCGTGCTCCCGCAGCTGTGCTCCGCCACTCACAGGCCCTCACGGCGATACCACGCCTCGGATTCCCTCGTGCACACGGACACGCTCTCTCACGCCCAGGCTGAGCTCTGCTCTTAAGAAGACCCCACTCGGGCCTCCTCCAGCCGCTCCCCTCCCCACAGGGTGTGGAGTCTACAGCCGAAAAGGACAGAGTTGCTGGGAGCCCGGCCTTGCCGCGTTGATGTGTGTGAGGCCCCTTGTGATGCAGGAGGGAGCCAAGGGCGAAGGAGGAGAGAGGCAGCGGCAAACGGGACCCCATCTGTCTGCGTGGCCAGGCCCCTCGCACGTCAGGGCCCAGCGTAGTGGCAGCGTGTGCTGGCATTGAGAAGCCCTCTCCTCACTGCCCAGCTGAGCCCTCACACACACACACACACACACACACACACACACACACACACACACGCAGAAACAGCAAGGCCCTACCGGTTTTCCGCCCATCTCAGGGTCCAGGCCCCCTCTCCTATCCAAGACGTCATACTCCTCTCTTCGTCCTAGATTAAGCTCCTGAAACAGAGAGAAAAGCGTCAGAGACCGGAAAGAGAAGCTCAGCAAGATGGGGCCAGTAGGACTGGGAGTTCCTTCTGGGTGGTGGCTCACAAAGGAGCACGGCCTGGGAGATCCATCGGCTACCGTTATCTCGGAGAACATCTCAAAGAACTTATTACCATGGCGGCGGGGGTGGATCATCGATTCAAAGTCCCACTGCACGGAGAGCGTGAAGTCGCTTCTCCACCAAAGGGAAGACTCTACACCTTCCTCCTCCACGCCACCCCTCCAGCCTGCGAAACCGCTGCCAGGCGGGGGCTCGCTAGGGGGCAGGCACTACACTACGCAGGCGCTTGCCGTGCATCACACCGCTAGCGCGCCGCATCCTCAGAGAACCCCCCGAGGCAGGCACCATGACTATCCCCGTTTTCGGGGTTAGGAAACTGAGCCCCAGGCAGGTTAAAACAACTTGCAGGGCTGACCGCCGCGGACAAGACCTACAACCTAGCCCCGGCCGCTGTTTTCCCCACGTCCCAGCAGAGGACTGCACTTTCTCTAGACCGGGCTCTACGGGAGAGGCGGACTTACATTATAGACCTGGTTCTGGCCCTGCTGGTAGGCGGGGACGTCGGCACTCCTGCTGA